CCTGGGGAGGGGGCTCAGTGTCACCCACTTTGGGAAATCCTGGCCTGGATGCAGGAGATGTCGAGAAGCAATAAGTGCACATGTGGATATTGTTGCTGACTGAAGAGGACTCTGATGGTGTAGCAGTACTTTTTGACTCACCCTCGTGCACAGGCATGCTGTGGGTAGAAACGGTGGCCTCGGGCCCCAGCAGTGAGAAGTCACCCTGAGGTGCTGGCAGTGTTGAGGTCCATTCATGAGAGGGAGAGCCTGCTGGGGGCTGCAGAGGCACATGCGCAGGCGGGGAGGCAGCCTCTGTGCCCTCCTCTGTCATTTCAGACCAATTGCTCTTGACCTTGAACATGCCGTAGACTCACCTGGGGAACTTTGAAACAATACTGAAGCCCATGCTCTCGTCTGGAGCCACTAACCCCCCACCCCTGCCCGACCCCATGCTAAAGTGCAGCCAAGGGCCACACCCCTTGCCCGGGTGCCAAGGAGGCCTGTGGATGACCCCAGGGTGGGAAGTGGGCAGAGTGATGGGTGGGGGCTAATGTTGGGGTGTCACTCGGGCAGAGTTCTTCCTGCTTGTTTCTCCCTGGGGGCTGACTTTGTCCCCTTCCCTACCGGTGTGCTATTAACTGCCCTTCACTTGCCGCTTGAGTGCCCTTGGCTCCAACCTTGTGCTTTGCATGTGCTTGTCTGTGTCCGTCTCAGGCGTCCTATGACCCCCCTGCCCATGACCCAGGGTGAGCTGACTTGACCTTGCGGCCACATGGGCAGCAGGACCCATCTCAACAACACATCCATGGAATTCTGCTCCCTCGTGGTACCCACAGGGCAAGGAAGCCCAGAGGGGAGTCTTCTCAAGCTGCAGGAGCTGAGTCGGATCAGAGCTGAGTCTGGGGTCCATACCTGTGTGAGTCTGGGTAGACTAGAGAAACAAATTCATAGACACTCATATGAGTATATGAAAAAGCTTTATATATAAGAGCACTTGAATATAGAGAGAACATCCCAGTCCAGTCCAGGTCAAGCCCATAAGTCTGCTATTAGCCCATATGTCTGATACCAGTCTGTAAATTCCTCTTCAGACTCACAAAACACATGCAATGACGCCGGATGCATGATCACAGGCCAGTGGGTGGAAAGTCTTGTGGATCCAATGGTGGGGGTAGTGTCTCAGCGCCGGTGTGGGTCTCCACGTGGCTCCTCCGGCTCCAGTGTAGCTCCATGTGTCTTGTTAACAGGAATACCAAGCAAAGAGTGGAGTGCATGTGTCCCACCTCCAGGGAGCTATTTATCTCCTCAGCGCCTCCAAATGAGGTCATCAAGCAGCGACCTGATTGACAGGCACCAGATTATGTAACTACCCCAAGACCCTTCCTCCTAACGCAGTGGCTGAGCTGCAGTTATGTGTCATGGAGTCCCTGTTGACTCTCAGGCCCTAGAAGATGGGGTCGAACTGTCCGGAGAGCGACCTGGTTTCTCTGTAGGGAAAATCCCGGATAAGTGAACAACTATCTTCCTGGCTGGAGTTCTTTCAGAGTCTCCCCACATCCAGCAGGGACTCCCAGGAACCCACATGATGCTGAATTACGTCAAGGAACACCCACAGCTCAGGGAGCCGTTCCAAAGGCCAGGCAGCTCTGAGGTTGGGAGAAGCCGCAGTCACTAAGCCAGAACAGGGCGGCTCGGGATTCTGCTGGGAGCACAGTCACCTTGTCAACCTGCTGGGTGCAGACCAGACTGTGGGCGGTCTTGTCTCACCCCTTGGGATAAGGGCAGGCTGCTGCTCTGAGGCTGCTGTTCTGTGAGGTGGCTTAGGGCTCACAGAAGCACAAAAGTGGCTGTGGCTGTCACGTCAGGGACTTCTTCAAGAGTGACCCATGTTTACTAAATCCCACTAATGCCCACCTACCCATGCAGCGCTTTCAGTGGGCCTGGTGGTGGTCCTGTAGTTTCAGCAGTTTGGTAGTTCAAACCTACCAGCCACTCTGTAGCAGAAAGATGAGGCCGGCTGCTTCCATGGCGACTGGTAGCCTGGGAAACCCAAAGGAGTAGTTCCCGCTCTGTTCTCTAGGGTTGCTGTAAGTCTGGCATTGGGGTGGGCTGGAAGTGGATGAATTCCTGGATCCCGCCACCACCCTGGGAGGACGGTTATTGGCTTCTCACAAATTAGAGAACAGAGCTGCAGAGAGATGACGGCAACGATTGCAACCAGGGCTTCTCAACCTCACGCCATTGACTTTTGGGTCAAGATCATTTCTTTCTGCAGTTTGATCGGCATATAATCCATCAACCATCCAGATCAAGCGTTCAGTCATAACGAGAGGAGATGTACAGGGCAAGATGGTGCCACCTGCTTTACTTCACCCCTTCTTCTGACTGTGGACCCTGGCCCGGCCCCCAAGGTGTCACTGAACAAGGTCAAAGTTTTACATTTGGGAGCCGACCCATAACAAACCTGGTTGACGGAAAGTTGAACTGGCCTTGGGCACCACGGTCTCCCTGTGGGAGTCTGTCCTCCAGCAACATGCTGGAGATGCTTTGGAGTGGGAAAGAAGAAGCGGTGGTAATACACGATTGCATTCCGACACCTGGTGTTCCAGGTGGTGATTGCGAGACTTCTTCGGCATTCACCAGCCTCTTGACTGTAAAGGAGAGAGGACAGTTCTATGCGGATGTACATCCATCCTCAGCATGCGTGTGTTGCAACATTAAGTGAAAAAAATTAAAGATATCTCTGTATTCTTCAGATATTGAGACGACTTGGCAGAAAAAAAGTCAACTTTGGGGTATAAACTAAAAGTGTGTCAATTTAAAATCAAAGAAGAAGAAGAGGGATACAATCATCACCACGATCAATTCGAGAACACTTTCTTCATTCTTTTTATGATGATGATTAGTTGGGATTTAATACATAAAGCATAGCGTTCCATATCTCAATCACGCCAAGTAGAATTGTGCAATTTCTACCACAATCCGTTTCCAATGATTCTTTTTCTACATGGA